TTTGTTCCTTCTTGGAAAGTGCCTAACACATCTGATTTATGACCATTTTGTTTCAGTAGCCTAAGAACCAGCTTGTCATAAGAGCTGCTATGATGAGTCTTGCAAAGGTTCCTCCCGTAAAAGTCCCCTCCTCCAAAAAAGAAAAAGTAAATTAGCCCATGAACAGAACAATTTATGAAGAAAGGAAAGGCTATCTTTTTTTTTTTTTTAACTTGAAAGACAAGTTTTTCCTTCCAATAAAATCCTAGAATACATAAGACGCCTTAAAAGCCTGAATATGACTTCTGGAAATGCCATTTTTTTGACAGGTAATTTCAAATAGTTTCACACAGAAAGAGAAAGAAGGGATTTTTAAGAGAGACGAAATCTGGGGAAGGGGGTAAAAAAAGAAAGCTGGTGGCAGGAACACTGGGAAAGCATAATTGCCACAAATCATACTTGCCCTGTGGTTATCTCTTTTCATTTCTTTGAATCTTTCTTCTTTGGAAATCCAGCTTGATTTTTCAGCTTACGACCTGAGCCAACTACAGCCATGGTATTTCTGCTAAAAGCCCAAACCATTAAGACAAAAACAGGCTTGTGATTACCAAGACAGGTCTGTTTGTGCATTTCATTTCATTTTGAACTGTGACAAGTAAAATTGAGTTCCTGATGGCAGACAGTGGTTCTTGGAGATCAGATAGTTCAGGGTGCTTAGCTACAACTTGTTCTGCAAATATGTCTCAGCAGTCAGTATTGAACAAAAAAATAAGCAAATTGGACAAGATAATTTAAGCAGCGACTAAGAAAAACAAAAATGATTTCCTTTTTCTCATGCATTTTTAAATTTCCAGAAGGCTGTTAAATTATTGAACTATTTCCTAAAGGTATGAAATACATGGGTGGAATCATCATTTTGAGCCACATTAATAGCATATTTATTAATCGGTCCATGTGTCATATTTGGCACTCAGGGAATTTAAAAAGAGAGAGGACAAATATAAAAATCAAGATGAATTTATACATCTTTAATTAAATATTCTCATCATCATGTTCATAAACCCTTAAAATACTGTCTTAAATATCTAAAGAAAAATAAACATATATACTAAAGCATTAAAATTATTAAGCTCATTTTAATTAACAAATGTCTGATGAAATGTAACACAATAGGAAAAAATCACCAACTTTTGATTCAGGAAAAGCCTGTTTAAGTATCAGCTCTATGAAAAAAAAATTCACTGACTTGAGGATCTCTGGGTGGCTCAGTGGTTTAGCACCTGCCTTTGGCCCAGGGTGTGATCCTAGAGTTCCTAGAGTCCCAGGATCGAGTCCCACATCAGGCTCCCTGCCTGAGTCTCTGCCTCTCTGTCTCTCTCTCTCTGTGTGTGTGTGTGTGTGTCTCATGAATAAATAAAATCTTTACAAAATAAATAAATAAAATAAAAATTAAAAATAAAAGTTCACTGACTTATTACAATGTGCTAGAAACTGTGCTGTTGCATTTTGCAGGTGCAGTTAGCAAAGATTAAATACAGTGTTCAATGTTGCCAATAAGCTAATTACGTTCTTCCAGAATTCACCTACTGAAGCCTTAACCCCCAGTACCTCAGAATGTGACTATATTGGGGGAGAGAGTCTTTAAAGAGGTGATAAAGTTAAAATGAGGTCACACTGGTGAGCCCTAATCCACTATGACAGATGTTCTTCTAAGAAGAGGAGAGTAGGGACAACCATGTGAGGAGACAGAAGCTAGCCATCTTGCAAGGTAAAGAAAGTGGCCTCAGAAGAAACCAAACCTGTTGACACCTTGACCTTGAACTCCTAGCCTCCAAACCATGGGAAAATAAATTTTTGTTTTGTTTTGTTTTGTTTTAAGATTTGATTTATTCATGAGAATACACAGAGAGGAGAGAGAGAGGCAGAGACACAGGCAGAGGGAGAAGCAGACTCCATGCGGGGAGCCAGACATGGGACTCGATCCTGGGTCTCCAGGATCACACCCCAGGGCTGAAGGCAGCGCTAAACTGCCGAGCCACCTGGGCTGCCCAAATTTTTGTTCTTTAGGCCTCCTGGTGTGTGGTATTCCGTTATGGCAGCCCTAGCAAACTAATACAAATGTCATACCAAGTGAAAGTCAGGGCCCAGACTCAGATCTACATAGTATCAAGGTCTGTCACCTATCCACATCCTACCTGACATTTTTGCTCTCTTCTCCTCTTCCCTTGACCTCTACAATTCTAGAATCCCTAGGACCAGCCTCCCTTCCCTTTCTACACTCACTCCTGCAAAACATCTCACCCCTTTATGGCTTTATTGCTATCAGCATGCTCACAACTCCAGGACTTATTTCCCCAGCAGGCCCTCTCTTTGGGGCTGCCCTCAGTAAGGCAGCCGTTGGTCACCCGTGGAAGTGTTTCTTGATTGTCTCACGAGCTCCCAAATGCTATCTTGTCCGAAACTGAACTCAAGATTTTCCTCTAGAACTATTCCTACCAATCTTTCCCCAGTTGTGAAAGGATAACGCAGTCTTCCCAGTTTCTTAAACTGACTCAGTGATAAATTCAGTTGAGTCTGCCTCCAAAATGTGTCCTGAACCTGCCTAACCCTCTCCATCCTGTCTGCAGTGTTGCCTAGGATGCTGCTATTTCTTGTCTGAGTGATGGCAGTAGCCCTGGACCAACCTTCTTGCTTCACTGAATCCATTTTCCTGACTTGTGTCTTTGTGCTTCTGTTCCCTCTGTTCCCTTTCTCCCCTGGCTTTTGATAGGACCTTTCTCATCCTTCAAGTCGCCAGTTACATGTCCCCTCCTCAGAGAAGCCAGCCCTGATTAATCTCTTTTAATAGTCCTCTCTTTCTGTTTTTCATTATCCCATTCATTTACTTCTCAGTATTTCCTGTTTAAAATGTTTTTCTTACTCGCTTTTTATCTGTTTCCATCACTGTCCAATAAAAAAACGCAACATAAAAATTAAACAGGTAAAGAAAAGACCGTATTCAAGATGATCTAAATAGAGGACAGAGGTTGAACTTAACTCTGCTGAAACAAAATGCAGGGGAGTTTGTAAGATGTGGAATGAGCTAGTGGGAATAGCAGGGAAATGGATCGATACAATTAGGTCATCTGTGTTTGCTAATTGGCTCTTACCAAAGTTAGACATCTATTTTGCTTCTAAACCTTAAGTGCCAAGTACTGTTCCTGACACACATGTCCTTAATCAAATTCTGATACATGAGCCCCTGAATGACTATGCTGTACTAGAACACTTAACTTGTGTTATGTAGGGTATTTAAAATCTTCAGATCTCAGTGTCCTATAAAATTGGGATAATACCCTACATCTTATAGGTTGCTGTTAAGATTAAATAATATGTTCTTTCATTTCTCATGATGTAAGAATAGTTGCAAACTAAAGGACTGTTAAATTGATCAATTGGGAAATATAAAATTACATGCCTGTCCCATGGTGGTTCCTCAAAAAGTTAAACATAAAATTACTTTATGATCCAGCATCCCCCAAAAGGAGGAGAGCAGGGACTCTAACAAATACTTGCACACCAATGTTCATAATCCCACTATTCACAGCAGCCAGGAGGTGGGAACGACTCAGATGTCTATCAACAGAGGAATAAACAAAAAGCAATGTGTGCATACACATTATATTTTTCCATCATAAAAAGGAATGAAATTCTCATGCGTAATACAATCTAGATAAACCTTGAAAATGTTATGCTAGCTGAAATTAGCCAGGCTATGAAGGACAAGTATTGTATGATTCCACTTATATGAGGTATCTTGAAGAGGCGAATTCAGAAAGGAGGATGGAGAGTACCAGGGGCTAGGGGGAAATGGGGGATGGGGAGTTACCTTTTAATGGGTATGGAATTTCTATTTGGGATAATGAAAAAGGCTGGAAATGTATATTGGTGATGTTTAAACAACATTGTGAATATACTTAATGCCACTGAGGTGTATACTTAAAATGGTTAGAATGGAAAAAAAATAAAAATAATAAAAATTTAAAAAATGGTTAGAATGGTAAGCCTTGTTATGTATGTTTCATACCAATAAAAAGTTACTGAATAAACATTTAAAATAATTATTCCCATGTAGTATAGACACTTCATTCATCATGAGTTTAAATTTCTTGCAGGCTGGGGAGGGTTGCACAGTGCCATGGAAAAATGCCCCAGACATAGATTCAGAATACTTGTTCTCCAGTCTCAGCTCTGTCACTTACTAGTGATAAAAAAATGAACAAGTCACGTAGGGCCTTTGCACCTTAGTTTCTTCTAGTTACAGTATCCTACAGAGTTGTTTTGAGTACTAAAACTAAAGGAAATAATGCAAATAGAGGGCTTTGTAAATTCCAACAATTATCTAAGTAGATGGTAGCAGTTTTTATTGTATATTCCTTAAAGAAGTTTAACACTGAAATGTACTTATTAATTGCTATTTAAGTGCCCTAAAATATTAAATAATTGATGGTAAGACTCAGACAAAGTGGATTTTTTTCCTCTGTGTATTAAATCATATTTTTTAGAATGAAAAAAAATGCTGAATTTCTAAGGAAACCACATTTCTATTTTTTTTTCCACATTTCTATTTAGCATTCTTATCGTGAATGGGTCATTAAACCTTTCCTTTCCAAACCTTTTGTTCATTGTTCATACTTACTGTACATACCGTAGGAAGAAAGCATAACTATATTATACCTCATCTGGAAAAAATGGCCTTCATTCATATTTAATTATAGGTATTAAAAAATTTTATTTTGCTATCTGCTTTCATCTTTCATTCCAAACCATACAAACCATTTTCAGTCCTTGCATGTCAGGCATAGAACAGCTTGACGTGGCACTATATCCAATCAGACATTACTTTGTAAAACTTTTTAGATATATAGTTACATTGAAAAATAAATATTTAAAAGCATAAGTTTCTTGTTATAACCTCATAACAATATCAAAATTAGCGTGGTTGAACAAATGTCAACTAATTTTTTTGTTTCCCTCTTTAGTGGTTATGTCTTTGACTATGATTACTACAGAGAAGATTTCTACAATCGGTATGTAAATTTTTTATTCTTGTTTCCCTTTTAGTTAAATTATCTTTTAACTGTTTTGTATATTTCATTCCTAGTAGGTGTTCTTGATTGATACTTAAAGAAAATTCTTTACTAAGTCCCAGAAAGTATAATATAGACAGATTTTCTTATTTTCATTGTGCTTACTGAAGCACAGACATCTTGGACTTTTAGGTCTTCAGAGGTTCTTAAGGCAAAAATTCGGTTATGGAAGAGTTGAATAATATGCCAAAAATTTAATTAACCAATATTGTGTTTGCAGGTCTGTTGTTGACTTAGGATTCAAGACTGAGAGTTTTGTAAACTTGGAAAATGACTCCAATCTTCTAAAATGCATCTGCTTTCAATGCTGTATTGGTTAGATTTGTAAAAACTACGGACAGTTCTTGCTTTGCATAGTAGTCTTGGATCATAAAGGAAACCATACAAAGTGATGTTAATAACTAGTGGAAAAAATAGAAGTTTCCATCCCCTCTAAAAAAATGTTCATAAAAATATTAAAAACTCTCTTACTCTTGGTTATAAATAATAGAGAAATACAGTAAAATAGTTTTAAGTACACTGTAAGTTAAAACAGTAGAAATATTGAGAATTAGTGTGTTTTGGTTCTTTGTAAAAAGACCTATCTGAAAGTAGCTTGAGCAGAGCTTCCTTTCTTGTACAACTTACACTACAGAACCAGCATCCTTCTTGCGCCTTGGTCAGTTGTCACCTTCCTTTCTAAGGCCGAACCAACTTCAGCAGCTTATTGGTGTTGTGACTTATCTCTGAGAGTTCCTCAGAGTAAGGTTATTTTGCCCATGTCACTTCTTCTGGGGCATCATCATCCCTTTTTATCACCTCACAACTGTATTCTTCATTCATGTCAATATACTTGCTTTCATGACGTACCTCGGGCTCCATACCTAGTGTCTCTCTAATAAAAAAGGGTCAACAATTCTCAGTCAGCCATTTCTCCTGCAATCCCATCCCATTTCATCTTATTTCACTTCCAGTGTGATCCCTCTTCTATTTTTTGCTGCATTCTCATCTTTGTTGACCCATTTCCTTTTTGGATTATCCATTATTGTCAAGTGCCATGTGGGTTTGTCACTGGCACGAAGGAGACAAGACACCACACAGTTGCTGTCTGTGTGTGTGCCCTGAATAACAGATGCATGGCAACCAGACACCCTTTGAATGAAGTGATGTGACTGATCGCTGACCATAATGCACCTCTCTTATTTGCACAGTGATTTGTGGACTGCAAAACCAGCAGCAAAGTTTGCACTTTATGAAATCATTTTATGAATAGACGGTGGTAACTGAAATTTGATTTGTGCTGTGGGGAGATGTGCTATTTAACTAAAGATTGGTGACTGAAATTCTGAGATATGCAATCAAGGGCCCACACTGTACATAGATCATTAGACCACGCACACAACAATGAGGGTACATATCTTTTAAGCTTTTTAGTTGCAAGTTCTAGTCAAACAAACAAAAAAAATTGCAAGGTATAGAAATGCAAACTCAGAAAAATAGCTCATAATGGGCGTGTTAAATAAGGAAGAAACTTCATATTCCCTTGGAAGGGCCTTCTTTTCAGTCCAGCCATGCAGCTCCTTTTTCAGTTCCACAAGAACACCATGTACCCTCCTCCCTCAGCACTGTCTTCTCTGCTGCTCCTTCTCCCCATTCCTCCCTCTGCTATCTAGTTAACTTGACTTCATCCCTCAGATCTCAGCATGAACACCACTCTCGAACTAAATTAGGCTCCTCTGTTCCCCTCTCTCAGCACCCAGTACTGTTCCTTCACAGCACTTCTGCTTTTGTACTGCTGTATTGCTTTGTGATGACAGGATTTGATTCCTGTCTGCCTCTCTTCCTCCATGAAGACAGGAAGGATGCTCAGTTTTGTGTGTCGTCGTATCCTCAGGCAATATCATTAAGTCTCAAACATAGTAGATACTGCATTTGTGTCCTTAATTCATCTCCTTAGATTCAGAGAGACTTTGGTTTTCCCAAGGTCATACAGTAAATTTATGACAAGACTACAATTATTAACTATTCATATAGATTCAGTAACCACCTGTGTGAATATGCAAAACAGAGGGGGAGCAATATTAGTCCATGGAGTTAAATAAAAGAAGAAAGCCTTGCGTAAAAGGGTATTAGACCAGAACATACCTTCATAACCACTATGTTCAACTACTCAGTTAAGAAAGTTTTCCCACTAGTTATGCCTTTATGACCAAATATGAATTTCAAAGGACAGTTTTCTCAAATCATTTTTATAATTGCTACAAATACAGTATTTTTTTTATAAATATCAGTTTATAGTATCTTATCCTAAAAAATATCTGGCAGCATAAAATAAGCCCATTTACTATTAAGAAAAGATAACATTTAAATAGTGTGCGTACTATTTGAAACTTTTAGTTTTTGACAATTCTAAAAACATTTTCTAATACAACTTTTTTTTTTCAGGATGCAGAACACTGTCCTAATTGCTATGAATAAAGTTTTAAATTAATACACATTGTCTTTTAGTCTGTCAATATGAAACTGAGCATTGTCTTCTCTTAAGTGTTTTCTATCTTGTGATTTCCTTCTACATTTAAAGAATTTCTATGTGAAATGGAGTTTCTATCTAAATTATAGCCCAGTAACATCATTAGATAGATAGATAAATAGGTAGGTAGGTAGGTAGGTAGGTAGGTAGGTAGGTAGGTAGATAGATAGATAGATAGATAGATAGATAGATAGATAGATAGATGTTAAAGAAATCTATCCTATCTACCAAAGAGCAAGAGCCTTAATCAGCCAAAGAGTTATAGAGCTTGAAGCTTTCAGATGATTCTCCACTACACAAAAAAGCTAACTCTGAACAATCCCCCAAATCATTTATTTGTCTTATATAAAAATCTGTTTGGCTTATTAAGGTACAAAAGATCAGTATGGTTGTATTGTTAACAGACTGTCTGAACAGACTGTGTCCTTATTAGTTTATTTTCCAGTTTTTGCACTTGGCTAAGAAAGATATAAGCATCCGCCACTAGTGGATAGATAGAGTCAGGAGTTCCCTATGAAAATAGATTGTCGCAAAGGGAGAACAGAATGGAGAGGCTGGACGATATAAATAGCTTACAAAGTGCTAACAGTTTTATCCACAGTAATTTCTTATAAATTACACTCTGCTTGAATTTGTGGTTAATTTTTTTTCTCTTTTTACTGGTGGTGCAAACTTAAGTGAGTTATTTAATACCACAAAACAGGTTGTCTCATCCATGAAGTGAGCAAGAAATTAATTCCTGCCTCATAAGATTGTTCTGAGGATTAAATGAAGTAACATGAATAACGATCTGCATTATGCCTGGTATATTTTTACTGCACAATGTTAGCTAGTAACAGCTAACCATTAACCATTAACTATGATAGTGAATGCATTTCTTATACTGACAGTCATGTAGCATTGTCCCTATGACAGAGAAATCAACTGGTTGGTCAGTTGTTCCAAAACAGCCTATTGTGACACCTCTGGATTATTTTGTTTATCTTGTTTTCCCTTCTGCTCCCAGAGCAGAACAGCTTAGTCACTATACATCTATATCATACATCTATATCTTATGGATATCAGATTTCTGCCAGATTTGGGGATTCTAATGTGATTGGGGATCTTCAACACACTTCTTGCAAAGAAAGAATCCTCAGCTATTTCCTTTAACCCCAACCTGCTTTGGTTTTAGTTCGGAACACAGAAATCATTTAGTTATATTTAACAGGAATAATTGTACGAAAATACTTTCCAACTAGGTATTAAGGAACTGAAAAAGCAAAAACACAACACTTATGGCATAATGGACTTAGCAACTACAGGAAGCCGGTACCAACTCTAGGAAACAGAGGAAGAGGTTGGGATTACCAAAACTTCATCTAGATAAAGGAAATTATAGAGCAGAAACTGGGACTAGGAGGTTCTGCTCAGCTGCTGCTGCCTTTTCTGAGCCCAGAGGGAGAACACAGAGGACTGGAACTAGACCTCTTTGAGGGAATGTGAAGACACTCTTGTGCAGGTCTTGCAAAAGGACTCATACTGGAACTCAGCTGCTGCTCCCAGGATGCATCACTGCTGCCGGGGTGAAGAAATGAGGCTGGAGTGATGCCGACTAGAATAGGCAGCCAAAGAGGAAGGACCATGTCGTGTCTTTCTGCTCCAGTCTTGCAGTCTCCCTCTAGGTCCTTTGTTGGCTGAGCCCAGCAAGGAGCCAGCTGACCCCCACAGAAATGCGGTTGGCGGAGTCCCAACCCCAGCTGTGGCTAAAGGTGGGTTTGAAGCTGAGAGATAATAGCTTGGTCACTGCCATACATCCAGATCCTATGGTTATCTGGTTTCTGCCAGGTTTGGGGATTCTAATGTGATTGGGGATTTTCAGCCCTTAGATAGTTGCAGCTTACAAAAGGACTTTACACCAAGGGCCATCATACTGTCATTGTTTTGATACATTGGCCCAGCAATAACTTCCTAAGGACTGAGTTAGTGTCTGTTCGTGGTTTCAGGGATCAGGAAGAGTATCACTAAATAATAGACCTGAGTGGTTATTCTAAACTTTTTTCATATTACACAAAGCACTGCTCAATAATTTATAGCATTAAATGGCATTTTCTTCTAAAAGGTCAAGTCTGACTCTAAATGAAGGACATTACATGTTATTAAAACTAAACATCAATATTTATACTCTTCCAAGTGAAGTAAAAGGATATATACCTAAAAGTATATTGAATCCCCCAGGGAATGTTTTCAATTTATGAGATATTAGCAGTGTTAATCCAGTCTTTTTTCAGCAGTATCAGGAAAAGCACATAACCCCCAGTATAAGTAAACTTCTGTTAATAGAGAAAAAGAAATGCTAGAAGGGCTTCACCATATAGAAAACATACATCCATATTAAATGATGTGAAATGGGCATTGTTCAACTCTGACACAATTTGGACCTCGTGTAACT